AGTAACATAATCATTACTTTAAGAAATAAAAATATTAAAATCAGATAAGCTTGCTACGCTCGCAATGAACCCAAAACATAATACATTGACTTCAACATCAAGGTGACAGTGCGTCAGAGACGTGGACTATATATTGGCTTTATACAGGCTTGGGAATGATACATAATATCATTCTGGAGTGTCATTTATAATGCACACTGTCTATGTCGGAACAAATTTTGCAACATTAGAACAGTTGAAGGTTATTTGGCAAGTGCAATGTCCTGCATTGCACCACAGGAGTCCGAAATTCTGTCAGAAATAAATAATAACAGCACAGTGGAATCCGCTTACTATGATATTCAAATAGAATATCATAATAAGCGGGTTCCACTGTGCTGCAAGAGAAAAATAATATAATAAACGATATATTACAAAAAAACGATGAAGCTATTATCGATCTTTTTTAGGTTGTCTGAACTTGAAGTGAGATGCCCTATAATCATCAGACATAGATTAATATGGAAACCTGATAAGTAATAATACAAATTGATGAAGTAATAATTGAAATCATCTGTTAATTGTCATTAATATCAGCTTGTTGAAAAAAATCGAGAAGATTTCATTTTGTCGTCGTAATGATCAGTATGTAAATTCTACTTTCACTTTCAAACAACTTCGAGCAAGAACTAAGAACTACCGTTATACTTCATCCTAGCTAACGATATCGTAATGTAACCGTCAATAAGATGAAAGAAGTTATATATAGTCATGATGTTCCTATTTTGCACCGAGAAAGTGCGTTACATTTTGGCCCATAAGCGTCATGCGCTATGTAAATTACGATCACGTGACAATCACATGCCTCGCAAGTCGTGCGGTGAAATCAAATTGCATAGAAACAATAACATTCAAAAACACAAAATATTTCTTTTTTAACAATAATCAAATATTCTTTTCAACGAAAATAGTGTATATTGTAAATAAAACAGTCGTTGTCAGTTGTTTACGACAATGACGTTTACTTTGGATCGATTTACGGCACCATGCCCCGATTTTGACACTTTTCAACGTAGACATTGGGAAATCAACTTGTATTGCAATAGAGAAACCATTGCTTAGGTGATTACAAACACACGTCTTACTTCTGGAGTAATATTTTCATTGAATGGGTATGATTTTTTCACATGACGTGTCAAGGCAACCGTTTATATTAATGGAAGGCATGCTCGTTTTCTTATCAGAATCAGAATTTGTGACAGAAAATGTCGGTAGGTTAACGGAGCCATATAAGAGATGATTTTAATCAGATTGACCTAATCATCTCCATTTCATACACATTCCTACAGTGTATTTCAGATAGCAATTGACTACCGCACATGTTTTGTTATGACTATAAAGCGATGGTCGTTCTATTGTTTTCCACTGACGGGGGTGAAGCGAGGTGTGAAAATTTTACCTTGAGTGGACAGTTGATCACCTCGGGCGATGTACAGTTAGCCCGACTTATTGTTCAATTGTCCTGGTGTCAAACACGGACAACTTACCTGAGTTTTTACCTTTTAAAATCCATTCACGGCAGAAAAATATTATAATAAGCGGGGTCCAAACTTTGACCATATCATAATAAACGATTTATTTTGCTTAGTTAAAGGATAAAATCGGTACATGGGAAAATAATTATAATAAGCGACATCATAATTAGCAGGTTCCACTCTAGTACAAAAAACTCCTATAATATAGCAAAGATATATTTTCAAACATAAAACAGCAAACAGAAACACTGCGTTATTAAATTGAATAAATGTGTAACAAATTTATAACAAACATGTCTTTCAATCCCTGTCTTGAACCAGGGACAGATACGTCCCTGCTTGAACACACCGCATCATGTTTCATTAGTACTGATAAAATATCTCGTGATATACATGTTTGATAGAAAAAATATCGCACTCCATCTTTTGTCGTTCATTATCTGCATATAATTCACGGATATTGTCAAATATAATGTGCATTTCCAAAGACGTATATATTACAATATATACGTCTCTGCTAGTACTTCTTTTAATTTTGACTTGTGTACAAAAGGGGCACAAAATCATCTAAAATCTGACTGATTGGGTTAGTCTAATATTACATCTGAGGGAGATAAAGCTATGTGCTAACTCACAAATATGGTTCGACCCTACAAATAGACCGACTCCATTCAAATCCGGCTGATCAGGTTAGTCCAATGTTCTACTAAGGGAGATAAGGTTTTGCAGAAACTTCGGCCACATCCAGCCAGCTCGGCTGCTTGCTGTTTGACGAGTAGCTAAAATTATCAAAGCATGGTTAGTTTTACAGTTATTTTCTTGTGTTAATGTATTGGTCCTGTCGATCTATTCTGTGACTATACTGAAATGGACAGAATATGTGGGAGAGAGTTTCTTAATTCTGTCGGAAAGAATAGTCATATTCAAGTGGTCAGTGGTATAATTTCTGGCTTATGTTATTTGCAGTGGTAATTTTTGTGAAATAAAGCAAAACGTTAGTGATCATGACTCAAACAGTGTGACAGGAACTCTAGTTGGGTTGGAACACTACAGGAAGTAGGTCAGAGGAATCCATCCGCTTCGGGGAAAAAGTGTGGGAACCACAATTTCAGCAAGCTTAACATCGTTAGAAAATTAATCAGAATATTATTATTAATTGTATACTTACAAAATACATGCATTGTTGTATTTTTCACATACATATAGCTAGTTAAGAAAATATCGAAGTGAATGCTTTCTCTGCCTATTAGTAGGCAAACCACAAATGGCGTCACTACGGTATGAATGAAAATGCTAGGGGTGGCTGCCGAAAACATTTGCATATGAATGAAAAGTGAATGAATGACATCCATATAAGGAGATATCAGATACCATATAAGGACTGAGAGACCATATAAGGTCATAGATGGCGCAACTATCTACTGTGCAATTCCACGTTAAGCAAATTTCGTAGTATGCGGGAGTCCCTAGACACCTGCGTTACCTAACACATGTGTCAACTAATATAATAATTTATATCATGACCGGATGTTCATTAAAATGTACATGGTTCCTGTGAGGCACAGAAGTAAGATTAGGGAAGAATCGAATGTATTTTCGTTTGCAATCTCAAAAATTGAGACACCAACTTGAATGGAACGTTGAGTCTATAGCAAACAGGTACCCAATATCACAGGCTAGCTAGCCTAGTACTACAGTTACCCGATATCACAGGCTAGCTGGCCTACTACATGTACCGGATATCACAGGCTAGCTAGCCTAGTACTACAGTTACTCAGAGGGAAGATACATTATATTAGATGTTTCACTTAATAGAACCAGGGTAACATTAATAAGTTTATATGGGCCGAATGATGATAAGCCAAATTTCTTTGAAATTATATATAGAAGAATCAGATTGATTTCAAATACTAAAATAATAATGGGAGGTGACTTGAATTTGGTACAGGATATGGGAAAAGATACACATAATATTATGCATGAGAGTCATAGACTAGCCAGAAAACTTATTGATAAGAGTATGGAAGAATTTGAATTATTTGATGTTTGGAGAATCCAAAATCCTGAAAAAAAAATGTACACATGGCGAAGGAAAAACCCAATTAAACAAAGTCGGTTAGATTACTTCTTAGTTTCACAAGATTTACTTAACATTGTTACAAACTCTAGTATCACACCCGGTTATAAGACTGACCATTCCTGTATATCACTAGCTTGCATTAATAAAGAAAATATGAGAGGAAAGGGGTATTGGAAATTTAACTCAAAATTATTAAATGATCAGAATTGGGTAGATTTAGCAAACCAATGCATTAGGGACACAATAGAAGAATACCTGATAGAGGGGGATTTAGATGCAATAGAGAACATAAATTTAAGGGTAAATGACCAAATGATGTTTGAAATAATCAAAATGAAGATTAGAAGTCTAACAATAGAATACTCAATTCAAATTTCAAAAGAAAAGAAAAAGAAAGAAAGGATGATCTCTGAAAAAATCCAAAACATTGAGAAATTAATGAACAGTCAACCTACTAATCAGTTCTACGAAGCATTAGAAAAAGAAAACAGGGCTTTATCAGATATAAGGAAGGAAAAGACTGAAGGAATCATTATTAGATCAAAGGTTACATGGTATGAGAAAGGGGAAAAAGGTTCAGATTTTTTTTGTAATCTTGAAAAACAAAACTATTTGAATAAAACTATAACTGAATTGATAAATGAAAATGGAAAACATATTACAGATACAACAGAAATGCTTGAAGAAGAAAAACAGTTTTTAGAAATCTTTATACAAGTAAAATGGCATGCAATAATGATTCACCTCTATTTAATCATGGGAAATATTTACAACAGGTAGAAAAGGGAAGTTGTGAAGGTCTGATTACAATTGGTGAATGTAGTAAAGCACTAGCTAATATGAAAAATGGAAAAAGTCCGGGATCGGATGGGTTTAGCAGTGAGTTTTACAAAAAAAATTGGAAAGATTTGAAATATTTTGTATATATATCTATAAATTATGCATATACTCATGGCTCATTATCAGAATTTCAAAACCAGGGAATTATAACATGTATTCCAAAAGAATCCAAAGACAGAAGATTTATAAAAAACTGGAGACCTTTAACTTTACTTAATACTGACTATAAAATTGCTTCTTCTGCTATAGCAAACCGGTTTAAAACAGTACTGCCTTCAATTATAAATGATACACAGAAAGGCTTTATGAGGAATATATTTATTGGAGAAAATACAAAATTAGTATTTGATATAATGCATGAATTAGAAGAAAAAACTATGTCTGGTTTGTTGCTACTTGTTGATTTTGAAAAAGCCTTTGACTTGATAGAATTGAGTTTTTGATGTCTTAACAATCTTTCAATTTTGGTGAATCTTTGATAAAATGGATACATATTTTATATCATATTGCAAAAGCTGAATAATTAACAATGGACTTCATATTTAACAGTTTTATTCAAAGGTCTTTAAAATCTTTCAATTTTGGTGAATCTTTGATTAAATGGATACATATTTTCTATCATAATGCAAAAAGCAGAATAATTAATAATGGGTATTTTTCATCATTTTTGGATGTAAAACGTGGATGTAGACAAGGGGATCCCATCTCCCCATATCTATTCCTGATAGGTGTTGAAATTTTGGCTATACAATTGAAAAAAAATCAAAGTATCAAAGGTGTACAAATAAATAATAGAGAATATTTGCTTGGTCAATATGCAGATGATGCCTTTTTATTCCTAGATGGTTCTTCAAAGTCATTGTCAAGTACTATAAATGACTTCAGTATATTTTCTACAGTATCTGGACTTAAACTTAACATAGATAAGTGTCGAAAAAAAAGAAAAGCTATCAAAAATAAGAAAATTGCTTGGAATGTGGTCTAAAAGAAATCTTACTCTTTTAGGAAAGATCACAGTTGTTAAAACACTGGCACTACCACTTATAACACATCTACTGTATTCACTGCCAAATCCAGGTAAAAAATGGATAAGCGAAATTAACAGAGTTTTTTATAGATTTATATGGGGGTACAAACCTGACAAAATCAAACGGGATACAATGATTCTTGAATATGGAGAAGGAGGTTTAAAGATGATACACATTGAAAGTTTTATGAAATACCTGAAAATTAAGTGGGTGAAAAGGCTATATGATGGAAATGGGGACTGGCAAAGTTTAGCAAAATCTAATTTTAGTAAATTTGGAGGGGAGAGATTATGGAATCTGAAAAAATCAAAACTGGAGGAAATATCGAAAAATGTAACTAATGTTTTCTGGAAAGATGTTATTTTAGCATGGAAAGAATATAAAGATGATAATAATGAAGTATCAAGTTTTCTTGGTGATGATCTTTTGAATTACATACCAGTTCCTAGTTACAAACAATTTATTGAATATGAACGGAATGGGGTGAAGACAGTTAAGGACTTGTTGGACAATAATTATCAGTTTTTGTCATTCAATGATATTAAGACTAAATGTGAGAAAATGATTTTTTTACAATATTTTGCAGTAATAGACCACATTCCAAGGGAAAACTTAAACATAATACGACAACAACCATTGATCAACAATCAATCAGAAAACAGTAATCCTTTAAGAAGACTTCTTCAAGCAAAAGATCTTAGATATGTTTATAAAGCGATTGTTGCTAACTACAAACATTATCCAATTGAAAGGCAGGAAAAATGGAATAGAAAGTTAAATACAAATTTAAATGATGATATAGGTTGGGAGAAAATTTATTTAACAAGCTTTCTGGTGACAATTGACACAAAACTTCAAAATCTACAATTTAAGATTCTTCATAGAATATTAACAACCAACAGTTTTCTTTACCAAATTAATGTTAAGGATGAGGATCTATGTACTTTTTGTAGAGATGCACCAGAATCAATTGAACACTTATTTTTTAACTGTGTGAAAATAAATAATATATGGAATGATTTAATAGCTTGGGTGAATGACTTGAATAACAATATTATCATTATTGATCATATGAATATCAAGGATGTGTTATTTTTTTGTGAAAAGGGTCCACCTATCATAAACTATCTCATACTGATTATTAAATATTATATCTATACATGTCGATTCAAAAATATTGAACCGTCTTTCAATGGTGGAAAAAGACGCATTATTCAACAACAACAGATTGAAAAAAAGATGTCTTCTTTGAATAACACAATGAACAAGTTTAACCAAAAGTGGTCTCCCCTTAATATCTAAGAAAAAAGCTTTTAATATCAATTGCATATCCGGGTAAACTTACAACCCGTAAAGAATTAATTAAAGCATGAAGGAAGATTTTTGGTATTTAAGTAAATAACAGGCGTACATGTATGTATTATATCTGTCTTGTGTATGTGTTATGTTGATAAGTATGTTTATTGGTTTATTTGTATGTGTAGACCCAAATGGCATGGTAAATATATAATTATTTATTGTAATAGAAAGGATGGATGTATCCATATATTAATATCTTAATATATGCTGTCAGGCATGCGAGGATGTGTGTGTATGGGTACGAGTGTATGCGTGTACAATTATGTGTGGTATATATGTATGACTCAAGTAATATATTTGTCATTTTGAGTGTGTGTATGATGTATTTATGAGTACATAATTTGTAGTTAAATTTCACATAATTGTACACTGTTTATGTTTTTGTGTTTATGTATATAGGTCTAAATTGCTAGGTCCATTAGTATTTGTACTCTTTTTTATTTCCCCAGACATTACTTCTTAAACTAATCCAAATTACACATGAAAAACAACATCATTCAAAGTACATGAATTCTGTTTTATCTTGTTTAAATTTTAGGACAATATGGCATTAATATATCAATTTAATCAAAATAAATATTATCGTTATTGTAATGAATGAAATATAAGTATGAAAGAATGAATGATTTTGAATTTGAGTATGAAAGAATGAATGAAAAGAAAGAAAGAATGAAGAGAAAGAGGCCTTTTGCATGAGGCTATATTATGTAAGAGGGATGATTCCGGGGCACCCCAACCCTGGCATCTCTCCCAAAGATGCTGGGGGAATAAAACAATTTGAACATAAAAAAAAATAAAAAAAAATAAAAATACTACAGTTACCCGATATCACAGGCTAGCTAGCCTAGTACTACAGTTACCCAATATCACAGACTAGCTAGCCGAATTACAGTTACCTGATATCACAGGCTAGCTAGCCTAGTACTACAGTTACCCAATATATCACAGACTAGCTAGCCTAATTACAGGTACCTGATATCACAGGCTAGCTAGCCTAATTACAGGTACCCGATATCACAGGCTAGCTAGCCTAGTACTACAGTTACCTGATATCACAGACCAGCTAGCCTAGTACTTCAGTTACCCAATATCACAGACTAGCTAGCCTAATTACAGGTACCCGATATCACAAAATGCTAGCTAGCCTAGTACTACAGGTACCCGATATCACAAAATGCTAGCTAGCCTAGCACTATACAGTTACCCTAGCTAGCCTAGTACTAACAGTTACCTGATATCACAGGCTAGCTGGCCTAGTACTACAGTTACCCATTATCACAGGCTAGCTAGCCTAATTACAGGTACCCGATGTCACAGACTAGAAAGCCTACTACAAGTACCTGATATCACAGGCTAGCTGGCCTACTACAGGTACGCGATATCACAGGCTAGCTAGCCTACGACAGGTACCTGATATCACAGGCTAACTAGTCTACTACATGTACCCAATACCACAGGCCTTCTATTATGTTATGTATAGATGACCTTGAATGTCGAGTACACGTTTCTATAATTATATATAAACATAGGCATACATAGGGCAAACTCATCAATGTTACGAAAACACCGCAGATTTATTGAGAGGCTCTGAAGGTCGTTATTAATGTTGTGACCATTACCATGGCCACTGGTTTACTGACGTGATAGATGACGTTAACCACTCGATTAGTATTAGAAAATTTAGATGATATCATGATCTGAGCTCATCAGACAATCACTCCTCCAAGCGAAGATAAGTTACACTGGTACCCATGATTGTGGTTAAAGTCTTATACAAAGATGACCAGCTGTGTACCCCATAGTATATCCTAATATTAGGACTATCAGCTGGTTCTAGCTTGTTTTCGGCATGACACAGTTCTATTTATAGTTGTTTACTTCTTTTCTCGCATGGAACGCATAGTTCGATGCACCTCGAGCGTATTGATGTAAAACCGCTTTTGATTGGCTAGACATTCTGACCTACATTTCACTACTAACCCCAAAACAACCCGATTTTCGCTAGGGTTAGATCCCATTCTTGGTCCTTTTTATTTCTAAATTGTACTTCATACAATAATGGCATTAAAGAGTTTATAACACGAGTTAAATATACTTAGTTCAGGTTCAAAATGGTCCGAAGATGTAAATGTCAGTGTCCTTACATTGGCCAATCAAAAGAGGGGATCTGGTGGGCGAGGAAATGGGTCAGGCTATGGTCTGAAATGTGTGTCACTCTGTCACTCAGAGTTCAAACAACACAGGAAGGCCAGCTCCGAGACCATTTTGTCGGCTCCTATATTGACGGATGACCGACACAAGAGGAGTTGAGAGAGTGCTCATCTGGACCCTGAGTATGTAAGCTTTTCTCTCCAGTTCTTCGTTTGGTGTTTTACTAAGAATTTCTTTGTCTATGCTAGTGTGTTTTTGGCCTTGCCGGCTCGGTGAGAGGAATGCCGGTGATAGGATATTTAAGTGTAAGTGCACTGGGTTACCTCTAACCTGTGTTTATTTTGGTGGTTTTACGATGCGATAAGCTGTACTTCGGTGCCATATTTAGTATTGTTTCAGACCTAACGTTAGGCACGGGACATTTTAAAAGCTGTGGCAGAAGGACGAGTTACACCCACAGCTACTGGGCATAGATTGTTTACACATCATTTGTGTGTCTAACACCTGTTACCTTATTCTTTATTAAACTAAGAACTGTTTCAATACCTACTACTACCGACATGGTCGAGGTAGTTGTCCTTTTACTCTGGACTATTTGTTTTATTACAAACTCCTAGGCCTACGGCTTCTGTAGGTGACACATTGTTAGTTACAAGTTTGTTGTTCTGTTCCATTTGTCATTGTTTCTGTATAAATGTAAGATATTGAATAAGATATTGAAGAACATACATCGTATTTTAAGATCATAACAGTATTTCTATTTGACTCGTTTGGAATGCTGCATATGCATATTCAGGATAATCCTTAAAACATACTCTGGTTTCCTCTCCCATTAATCCCCTGTTTGTTAATTACCATCTGGGCTGACGAAGAGTGATTAAAATCAGTTTATAAAACAACAGGTTTAATAATTGTTTTAAAATAAATCAGTGTATTTTTTTACCAATAAGTCTAAAATGGACACTTCCTAATATGAGAAATCTTGAATGTGTTCATGACATTTGTAAATCAGTAATTAACTTTTGTAGGTTTTTTGGCAAGTGAGTCAATGGAGGACTCGCTCTTTTTGAAAAGAGTCGCTATACAAAACTTGCTTCCATCAATATGTCATATCCCACAGATCTCCAATCTCCATGGATAAGCTCTGGTTTCGTGCAGGTGATAAAATAATAATATTACCATATTATTGTACATGTGTGCCAATCTTTTATTTGTTATGTAGAAGAACTAGAATGGTAGTACTAGTAGAGAGATGATCCCTCTAGAGTTTAGACGGTTCTGGGTTGATCCCTCTAGAGTTCAGACGGTTCTGGGTTGAGGAGTTTTTTGCTTTTTTTATCCTTTCTATTTGTTCATTTCATCATTGTCAGTCCACAAATTAAAAAACCAATCAGTATGATAATAGTACTACACAAAGTCAAAGAAGCACCCATACTTACTGTTAATGTAACTTAATCTTGTGGAAAAAAAACCTTAAACTTAAAGCAAACATATTTTTTGGAATTTTGCCAATGGGCCAGGCCAATTGATGCGTAATGTTTAAATGTGCAAAGTGAAAAGTCAAAAATGCAACAAGTTTGATTCAAATCAACTTATTGAATTATATCCAAACAATATTAGATGGTAACCTAACCCACAGAAAAAATGAACAATGGACTCCGAGAGGGAAAATCAAATGCATTTAGGGCAAATCGCTAATCAGTCATAGCTTGACAAACAGACCAGTCAGTCTTGAAAAATTGCGACACACTTAAGACTTACAACGTTTGTGTATATTATGGGCCGATTGGTCATATGGTTAACACTCCTGCCTTCCGAGCAGGCGGCTGGGGTTCGATCCCCGAAGTCGTCGTACCCATAGATATTCAGAGAAAGTGTTTTTCTCCTGCCCACACAACTCCAACAACCCAGGTACAGTTTACATTAGTCTGGGGTGGATGTTGCGGTATCTATGCTGTAGCATCCAGGTGAGGTTGCACTATATATAAATTATACCGTTGGAAGCACGGTCCCACTACAATCAGAACACAATACATCTCCAGCACACACGCAGGCAAACACACATAGGGAGATATTAGCCAGGTGGCATAGGACTAGTAGTTAGCACCTGATAAGGCAGTTCCAGCGAATTCCTCAAAATTGTATTGATTAATGTATATATGCTTATTGTATTGATTGTATGAATTGTATATCTATGTACTGTAAAGCACTTTAGAGTGGCTTATTCTAGCTAGATTGGGTGCAAGGGTCGCTTCGGGTAAATACAGACACTTTTCAAATGATGACTACTAATACAAGCTCCTTGGTACAGTTAATCAACATGCTGTGTGCGAACTATCATAGATATCATCTACCAACATATTTGTCAGAATGAAGGTCCCTTTCTGTTGCTATTTCTAGTGATGCTTTTGATTGGCCGGTAAAATGAACACTAGAATATAAACCAACACACGGAATATAGGAATCGATTGAAAAACGGACATGTGTAGGGTGGACACGTGTCGGGGAAACTACGGACAGGCTACTCAAATCATGCACTCGCCCAATAAAACCATAGAAACTGGTCACAATGTTTCGCCAGGGGATGCTACATCTTGTCGGCATACAACATACCGGGCAGTTTGTAATAATAACTTACCTCCCGTGTCACGGACTTTTCGCAACGACTTTTCTATTGCCGCTATTTGGTTTTGTGATATTGCCGGGGAGTCCATAATGTAAGTTTAACAATCTATTTAGGTGTATAATTGTGTTAATTCTGATATCATGTATTTGTTTGTCAAAAGAAATCAACGTAAAAACCTTATTTTAATAACCGGAGTCAGAACAATCTCTGTAGGCCAAGTTGGTCAACTCGCCCCATACTTAAATATGTCCACGTGCTACGTGATATAAGAAATTATGTCAATCTTGTGTTTTGAATGTAAGGATAAAGGTCTATTATTTTGAGGTCAAATGCATATATTCGTTAATGTAATTAATCGATGAGTTTTTACATCAATTTCTAGTCAATAATTATTTGATTGTTTGTCACAGATTTTTTTCACTGAATAAATCTGGAAAAGAATTACCCTAGGATCATGAAACGATTCTGTCTAGAATTGTCTTAAGTATTAACTTAGCCAATCACATACTAACTTAGCCAATCACATACTACTTCATGTGACATCATACGTGATTGGCTAAGCAAAAACTTAGTACAAGATTGTAACATTCAAGTGCAGTGTATATATACATATTTTCATGATTATAGGATAATTAACACTAAATAAATAGGAATTCTTTTAAGAGAGAGTCCAACATAGTAGCAGAAATGTGTTGTATATGTTATTGTATCGTGTTACGAAGTGAGGGCACGATCCTCCAGAAGTGATGAACTATGGTATAAACATGTATATATCTAGATAAAAGGGTATCTTATCTTGGTAGGAGTCGCTCTAAACTGAACACATTCACATGTACTTGGCCTTCCCAGGCCCGTTGTCAGTTCATGTGATGCTCATGTATAAATCTAGATTCTAGTTGTAGGAGTATATAAAAGTGTAATCTATTTTGCTTCAAGTTTCAGCTTCTTTGCTTCCTTCTTCTGTAGTTGTTCAACTTTTAGTTTTTCTTTTTATTTCCTTTTTAACGCAATGTCTCTTTTTTTCTTCCATGATTTCCTCGGATGTCGCCAGTTGATGTGACGAATTTGTCTTCCTTTCCACATTGGAGTGATTTGTGGTATTGATCCTTGGTGGCAGCTCATTCACTGCTGAATTCAGCACAACTGCCTGAGCTTGCACTGAAGTTGCAGGTATGGTAGTGATTCCTTCACCGTCTGTCGTGAATAGTTCACATTGAGTTAAGGAGTTGCTGCAGTTCTGGGTCTTGAGAAGACAGCGATGACTGGTCTTCAATTGTTAGAGATGACGAAGGCAAAGTCAATGGAACTTCCGCTGGTATAAATGGCGTGGACAATTCCTGTGGTGTTGTTGCATGGTCTACAGGAGATATATGTATTTCGGTAGCTGGGAATGGATCTTTAGCACTGGCAGGTGCGTCAGCTGATGATTATTGTACATCGGTAGGAATAGAAGGTGCAAAGGAGTCTAGAGGTACTGCTGTCCGACTGAAGGGGAAGCCACTCTTGATATTGTCTGTTGACAAACCACATTCCCATGCCTGCGCCAATAGTCCAGCTTTGTCACCAGATTTAGCAGGTTTTCATTCAGGTATTCGGAACAGATCCTATTGTATGCAGCATTCATTGGTCCAAATACTGCTCTGTCAAGGGGTTGTATCAGATGTGTGGTATGAGGTGGGAGGCTGAGGACATGTATGTTTTCTTGGAGAGCCATCTCAAGGATTGCTAGTGTCTCGTGTGATGAATGGCCGTCCAATATCAACAACTGGAGGTCTTTCCGAGCCACATTCTGCTAAGAAAAATGTCGCGGAACCCTTCTCGCCAATAACATCTGTCATCCATCCCTTCTCTTGGTAGTCCCATTTTGTTCCGGATGGAGCTGCCTCCATGCTAAAGCCATGTAAGGATTTAGAAGAATTACACCGGACTATCAGCATAGGGGACATTTTTGAACCTGCTGCATTAACGCAAGCCGTGATCGTGATGTTTGTGCGGTTTGATGTAGTTCTCCTCAAGACGTTTTTTGCACCCTTCTCGGCTATGACCCTGACTGGCTGGTGCTCAAGCTGCTTTCCTGTTTCATCGCAGTTCCAGATCCAATGGGGCTTTTCCTTCAGCTGAAGATTGTCAAGAATGTTGCCAAGGTCATCCATATACTTGTCAACCACCACTGGATTTAACATCCTTGCCCTCGACGTAGCAAACTTCTCAGGCTTCCGTATACTTAAATCCTTTACATCCTGGATCACAGTGTCCTCAATGTCGGATGGCAAAGCTGGTCTCCTTCCCTGTTTCCCAGGCTCTTTGTTCTTCTTGGTAACCAAGTCCACTTAGGTACCCCATACGAAGCCACTGATCTCCGAATAGACAGGGCTCTGGAAAATAACAGCTTCAACAGCCTTTTGCATAGTGGACTCGTTGTATTTGCTGTACTCCCCTTTGCCTTTGTAAATGTATTTGCTTGGCATTCTGAAATAAATGTAACACTTTTGTTGATTATATAGATCATATTTATTGATGTTTTGTTTGTATACGCCCGTCAAATTTGACGGAAGTATTA